CGAGTTCTTCATCAGGCATATATGACAGTAATCCCGGTGACGAATATGCTCTTGGAATAGTACCCCATCAACTCCGTGGGTTTCTGCACAACTTCCAAACTCTCAAAATCAAAGGCCATTCGTACCCGTGCTGCAGTGCATGCAGCAAGCCAATCATTTCCGCTTACAGAACACAAGGGTGGAGTTTTGTCAAGCGTGCACTTGAGGACAAGGAATATATAGCTGAGCTCAGCGGTCTAGCTGAGGTTCAGAGAAAGGCCGAGGCAATGGCGGATGAGGTAGACTGGGAGGAGGAGGAGGAGGAGGGCGAAAAAGAGGGTGATGACGAAGGAGTACTCGTATAGAACCTTCTCCTTCGCGTTCACCACGACCGCTGCACACGACTAAGGAAGACACGAGTCGACCGTTTCAAATTTTGGAAATGGCCTCGATGGTCTAAGATAAGGTGGAATGGTAGCCTTTCATCGAGTAACTCTCAGGAATATTCAATTCGCGCGCCGCCTTATAGGATATCATATGGGTCGAGCACCCTTTCGTCTGAGGAAGTCGAGATATTCGGACCGAGGTTAGTGCGGCTGCATAACACCTCAGATGGCACAGCAGATACTATTGTGTCCATTGGGGAGATTCTCAAAGAGGGCCCACCTTTAGTATGATAGCGAATAGTCTTGATGTGTTACGTCTTGCATTAAAGGGGACTACTTGTATAATTGAGGTCTCATCGAGGTCTAGAACGGGGTAGGGATGATTTGAAACGGTGGAGTTAGGAATTGCAAGACCTTGAGGAAATTCGGTCTAGGTTTAAGGACACTCGAATGAGTTTGGAGTTTTCTGCAGGTTTACAATGCCGCTAGAAGGACGGCGGCTAACATGATATTGCACTCATAGACAGGTACCATGCAAATACCAGGGGAATTCTCAGTCATGGGGCTAAGATGGGATTGGCGGTACAAAAATAATTGCTCAGGTGTTGATACTGAGATTGGCTGGCCAGAACAAACCAACTATCCAGAGTCAGGTCATCCCTGATAACGCGGCCGCATAGTAAACAGTAAACTTGTAGAAAATGGTTGAAGCTAATAGGACCGAGAAAGTTAACCTCATTATGACGACAACGGTCCAGACCTAGTATACAGTAGATGACTCAGTTAGCATACTAACTGACTTCTCCTATAAATCTCGGCTGGGGGTTCCCCAGTGTATTCGTTTTAAGAAATCTACCTAGGTACACAGCTGAAGAAGAGGTGGTGTATTTACGCTGCTTTTGTATACTTCAGAACTGAACTAACGGGGACCATTATCAGGATGATTACTAAGTGAAGGATCTTTCTAGGGTATGGGATCCTCTTGGATATTTGACATAATAAGGTTATGGTCGTAAATATAGCCCTCAAGAACTCTCATAAGACTTGGGTATGGTTTTAAACTACCTATCTATACTCAAGCCCACCCCACAACCCCGGACGAAGACAACTTTCTGACACTTGTCATTGAATGTGGACCTACTTCGGCTAGACTTATCCGTAATTCCTGGTGGCACTTTCAGGATGGAAGTTGTTAATTACTCGAGTCATTGGAACTCCACATATGGGTAGCTAGTGTAAGATAGTAGAAAGATCTGACAGCTTAGAAGAGAGATTACAGGCATAAGGCCAACAACTACCGGCAGATCACTCCGATGTCTCTCCGCCACACCCGTCCCGTGGGATACACTATGGTTTCATGATTATAGTTACATACTTCCGCACTGCTCTAAAGGCTGTAGTACGACACGTTCGGCCCACCAAGTCGTAAAATCGTGGGGTTCTTATACACTCCGCGAGTCGTAAGGCTTTGATTTTATTCTCTTAAGGTCACGTTTGAGATCGAAGTTGACGCGGCAGGCAGTTTCTATTATGATTATTTGAGTTACATGATGGTCTCCAGTATTACCAGAATAGTATAAAGTAACCGATCGTCTCGCCCCTTTGCAACAGAGGACATCATCTACACTTCATCAGTTCTAACCCTATCTCTTTTCTTACCCACTATATCCAATCTTAACTTTGAAGCTTATTTCATTGACGACATCAAGCCCTTCCATGATCCCTTAACCAGAACCCCAAAGTTTTTACACCTCTCATCAAAATTTTACGGGCAGTTACCCAACCAGCCAGCAATATGGCTCAGCTACAAGAACTTGAGAGCGCCGCGTGCGATGTTATCCAAAACGTAAAAGAGATACAGGATCTCAAACATGCGAGACTCTCGGTCATCGGAGGGTTAGCATTAATGCATTACCTCCCTGAATACCGCTCGACAGATGTAAGATAACCTAATACTAAATATCTATGACTCATGAGCTAATAGCATTTCTAAAGAATATTAATTTTATTACGAATATATCGACCTCTCCAAGTTCGCTAAAAAAAAAGTTGGTAGAGCGGCCAGAATCGCCCTTCTTCCAACGTTCACAGGCACTCTACTATAGAGCACCTTGCGGCCAGGAAATCCGAGTTGATATAAGCCCGGAATGGCTTGTAAGTTCTGAACCTTGAGTAGAATCTTCAGTTAGCTAATTGCGACAGTCGCCTTACCTCCCAGACTCAGCTGTAAAAGTACAAGACATATCACGCGACGAAGTCCCGTATATCTCCCTTACCGATCTCATCGTATTCAAGTTGGATTCGAGCGGGCTGCGATCTAACCCCATAAAGAAGGAGCGCGATGCACAGGACGCTGCGGCTTTGGTCGATTTCGCCACGCACAAAAGCTCCCTACATCTTTCCGAGAAGCAAGAGCAGGTCGTAGAAGAAGCGCTCTGCGACGTAGCGAAATGCGGCACTAAGGAAAAGGGCTGGTGGGAGAGACGCATGGGCTTGATAAAGCAAGCTGCCGATGGATCTCCTTACGACAGCGGAGGCCGTGAGCGCAAGCCGAACCGGCCTCATTCTAAATCAGACCCTTCGCCATCTAAGAGTCCGCTTACAAACGACCCTAACGCAGCTTGGCACTATGAGCGGCTGGATCACGCACACATCCGGCGGTTCAACTCGCTGCACAGTAGCCGGGGCGCGAACAGGCCGGGAATCCCCCGCTCCTCTTCGCAACGCATGATTAGGGACACGGGCTTCACCATGACACAGCCGAAGACGACACACGCGAGCTACCAACTCGGCGTAAGGCGGTCCGGCCTGAGCAGCGAGATCAACGCCGAGCCGAACTGCTATGGTAACGTAGGCGAGCAATACTACACCCTCGAGCCGGGCGAGAACATGTCGGGGCGGGCTTCGCCGGCAGGGTACTTTGACGTTTCCCGTACGCCGCCGGGTGGCCTGGGAACGGTGACAGAACATACCGTGGGGGTTCGACGAAGCTCTAAGTCGGGATACTTCGATCTTACCCCTGGAGCTATACCTAGCACCATGTCGCAGCCTAGGAGGCCCCCGGGTTTGGACAAGAGGAGTGTTACGTTCCTCCTATAGACGGGAGCAAAGACCTTGCGACATGTTTCGCCGTGGATATTGTCGCGAGCTATGTATTATTTTGTAAGCTTTCGTGATGCAATACCCAGTTTGTTTGTTTGTTTTCCGTCTGTATTTTTTTTTTTAAGTTCTTCGTTCCAGACACTTCCTTTTTATGTATGTCCTTTGGTTAAATGATGGCAGGGTGCAGCTCTTGTATGATGATGATGTATACATAGGTAGATGCTGCGTGTTGTAGAAGCAATAGTTTTGATAAAAGTCAAATAAAGTTTGAAAAAAAAAAAAAAATGAATAAATAAATACATAAGATATGATAGTTATACGAGAAACATAAAAGTCACGATGTTCTCGTGTAAATAGTAGGGTACCATACAGTGCTTACAGTGCAGCGTGAATGCAGTAAAACACCTAACTGATGCAGAAAGTTAGGTGAGGGGAATAGGGGCTCGAGCACTTGGCAGGTGACTCGTAATAATGTGCTTTAGTGCCCTTGTGGCTTGTGGCGCGGGGAATGAGGATCATCTGTTAGTGAAATCTTGTGACACTTTGAGTAACTACGGCGGACCATTATGACATTAGTGCCAAAATCAAAAAAATTGGTTAGATCTATCCAAAAAAGGCTAGTATACAAGGTATACAGTATACTATGCGGGATATATACAAAATTCTTATATTATTTAATAGCTTTTTAAATATTCTTATTAAAAATTTTGTTGGATTGACTGGGGAATCGATTCAGTTACTTTGTATCACCAATTACCCTTGTAGTAAAAGTGATGTCCTATTGTATTGATTGATGATGAAAGAGGAAGATCTACGAAAAGTGGGGGAATCTAAATACAATTGGATTAGGGTGTGGGTGGGGCCCAACCCGTGGTCACATGACAATGCTAGGTGCCATTGTCACGTGACTATAATCCCAACAAATTTAAAGAAAATATTATTATTTTAATTAAAATATAAGAAAAACTATTAAATTAATTATATAATTATTTAAATTTATTTTATAAAAATAATATATTATATATATATAATATATATGGGATTTTAAAATAGTTATAAAAAGTATCACGTATTATATAAAACTTATTAAATATTAATATAATACGTTATANATTATTAAAGAAATTAAAATATTTTAAATATAAAATTTATAAATGTTTATAATAATTAAAAGTTTTTTAATTAATAGTAAAAATGAAAAATGGAATTTAATGTATATAATTTTTATATATTTATATAAAAAGAAAAAAAAATATAAATAAATATTTTTAATTAATAAAATAAAATAAGTTTAAAATATAGAAAGAATATAAATTAATAATTAATAAAAAAATAAAATAAAGTTTTATAAATAGTTTAAATTAGAAGTAATAAAATTAAAATAAAATTTAAAAAAAATTTTATTTATTAAGAAAAATTATAATTTTATAAAAAAACAATATTTAAAATTAAAAAAAACGATATATTTTAAAAAATTATTAAAAAAATATTAAAAATTTTTTATAAAAAATAATATTAAAAATATTAAAGTAAATATAAAATATTTAATATATTTAATAAAATTTTAATTTTTTAAGAATAAAATAAATGATTAAAAAAATCTTAAAAAATTATAATATATATAATTAAGTTAAAATAATATAATATAAATTATATTATCTTAATGTGTTAAGATTAAAATTCGAGGAGGGGTTTCGCCCGCATCCGCCTCCCGCCACAAGCGCCACGAAACCCTTGGTCCGTGTGTTTGTATTTATAGGGCGTGAGGGAGGCGTTTTTTAAACTTTAGTCTTAAAAACGTCTAAAGTTTTTAGCTGCACCTGGTATACATTTAAAGACTTTTAATAAGACTATATCGACAACAATATAATAAACAATAATAACGTTTTAAAATACCCTTATTTTAATCACTCAAGGCTAGTCTTTTGCTTAGCTACCTTATCTTTTTGCATGATACGACATGGTTGTAATATCGCAGGCCTCGACGTCTAAAAATACGTAATAGCCTCAAAAACATAGAATAACCTCAAAAAGTGAACTACGCGGGGCACCCACACGGGGCACCGACAACCCACAACCACGGGCAAAAACGGGAGGCCACCCGAAGGGCGACACAAGCCGGAAGGGGAGGAAAGAAAAAAAAACGGGGGGGAAGAGGGGAAAAAGGAAAAAAAAAGAGAAAAAAGGAAGAAAAGAAGGAAGAAAAGGAGAAAGGAAGAAAGGAAGAGGGGAGGAGGGAGGAGAGGGAAGGAGAGAGGGGGAGGGAAAAGGGGAGAAGAGGAAGAAAGGGAGAAAGAGGAGGGGGAAGAGGAGAAAAAGAGGGAGAGAAGAGGGGAGGAGAGGAGGGGGGGAAAAAAAGGAAAAAGAAAAGGAAAAAGGGGGAGAGAAAGAAAGAAAGGGGGAAAGAGGAGAGGAGGGGAAAAGAGAAGGGGGGGGGAAGGGAAGAAGAGGGGGAGGGGGAGGGGAAGAAGAGAGGGGAGGGAAGAGGGGAGGGAAGGGAAGGGAAGGAAGGGAAGAAGAAGAGAAAAGAGGAGAAGAAGGGGAGGGAAAGGGGGAAAGAAAGGAAAAAAAGGGAAGAAAGGGAAGAAAAGGAGGAGAAAAAAGAAAGGGAGAAGAAAAGAAAGGGAGAGAAGAGGGAGGAAGGGGAGGAAGGGGAGGAAGGGGAGGAAGGGGAGGAAGGGGAGGAAGGGGAGGAGGAGAGAAGGAGAGGAAAGAGAGGGGGGAGGGGGGGAGGGAAAAGGGGGAGAGGGAAGAGAGGAAAAGAAAAGAAAAGAAGAGAAGAGGGGGGAGGAGGGGGGGAAGGAAGGAGGGGAAAAGGGAAAAAAAGAGACAGAGGGAGAAAGGGGGAGAAAAAGGGGAGAGAGGGAGAAAGGGAGAGAAGAAAAGGGAGGAAAAAGGGGGAGGAAGGGGGGAGAAAGAAAGGGGGAGGAAGGAAAGAAGGAAAAAAGAAAGAGGAAAGAGGAAAGAAAGAAAGAAGAAAGAAAGAAAAAAGAAGAAAGAGAGGAGAAAGAAGGAAGAAGGAGAAAAGGAAGAAAGGAGGGGAAGGAAGGAAGAGAAGAGAAGAAGGGAAAAGGGAGGAAGGGAGAGAAGAGGGAGGAAAAGGGAGAAGAAGGGGGGAGGGGAGGGAAGAGAAAGAAGAAAGGGGAGAGGAAAGAAAGGAAGAAAAGGGAAAAGAGGAGAGGAGGGGAAGGGGGAGAGGGGAAGGAGGGGAAAGAGGGGGAAAAGGGGAAGGAAGAGAGGGAGGAAGGGGGGAGGAGGGGGGGAGAGGAAGGGGAGAAGGGAGAGGAGAGAAAGAAGAAAGGGGAGGGAAGGGAAGGGGAGGAGGAAGGAGGGAAAGAAAGAAAAAGAAGAAAGAGGGGAAAGGGGAGAGAAGAGGGAGGGGGGAGGGGGGAGGAAGGAGGGGAAGAAGGGGGGAGAAGAAGGGGGGAGGAGAGGGAAGAGAAAGAAGAAAGGGGAGGGGAAAGAAAGAGAGAGAGAAAAAAGAGAGAGGAGAGAGGAAAAGAGGGAAGGAAAAGGAGGAGAGAGAGAAAAGAGAGGGGGGGAGGGAAAAGGAGAAAAAAAAGAAAAACGGGGGAAGGGAGGGGAGAAAAGGGGAAGGAGAGAGAGGGGGAGAGAGGGAGGAAGGGAAAAGAAAAGGGAGAGGAGGAGAGGAGGGGAGGGGGGGAGAGGGAGGAAGGAGGGGAGGAAGGGGGGAGAAGAAGGGGGAAAAGAGGGGAAGAGAAGAAAAGAAAGGGAGAGAAGAGGGAGGAGGGGGGGAGGAAGGGAGGAAGAAGGGGAAAGGAGGAAAAGGAAGGAAGGAAAAAGAAGGGAAAGAAGGAGAGGAGAGAGAAAAGAGAAGAAAAAAAGAGGGGGGAGAGGGGAGGGGAAAGGAGAGGGGAAGAAAAAAGGGAGGAGGAAGGGGGAGGAGGGAGAGAGGGGAAGGGGGAAAGAAAGGGGAAGGGAGGGGCGGGGGAGGGGGGGGGAAAAAAAAAGAAAAAGGAGAGGAGGAGAAAGGGGGGAAGAAAGAGGGAGAAGGAGGGGGAAAGAGGGAGAGAGAGGGAGGAAGGAAAGAGGAGAAAGGAGAAGGAGAGAAGGAGGGGAGGGGGGGAAGGAAGAGAGACGGGGAAGGAAGGAGGGGGAGGGAGAAGGGAAAGGAGAAGAGAAAGGGGGAGGGAGGAGAGGGGGAAGGGGGGAGAGGGGGAGAGGGGGGAGAGGGCGGACAGGGGGGAGAGGGGGGAGAGGGGGAGAGGGGGGACAGGGGAGGAGAGGGAGGAGGAGAGGGAGGGGAGGGGGGGGGGAGGAGGGGGGAGGAGGGGGAGGGGGGGGAGGAGAAGAAGAAGGAGGAGAAGAAGGGGAGGGAAAAGGAGAAAGAAGGAGAAGAAAAGAAAAGAAAAGGAAGGAAGGAAAAGAAAAGGAAAGGAAAGGAAAAGGAAAAAGAAGGAGAAGAGAAGAGAAAGAAAAGGAAGAAAAGGAAGAAAAGGAAGAGAAAAGGAAGAAAGGGGAGGGGGAAGAGAGGAAAAAGCGGGGGAGAGAACGGGGAAAGAAAGGGAAAAGAGGAGAGGGAGAGAGGGGGGAAGAAAAGAGAAAAAGAAGAGAAAGAAGGGGAAAGGAAGAAGGAGAGGAGAGAGAAAAAAACGGAAAAAAAAAGGGGAGAGGGGAAGAAAAAGGGAGGGGAAAGGGGAAGGAGGGGAGGAGGGAGAGGAGGAAAAGAGGAAGGGAGGAAGAAGAGGGGGGGGGAGAGGGGGAGGAAGGAAGGGAAGGAAAAAGGGAGAAAGGAGGCGAAAAAAGGAGAAGAACAGAAGAGAGAAGGGGGGGGAGGGAGAGAGGGAGGAAGGAGGGGAGGAAGGGGGGAGAAGAAGGGGGGAAGAGAGGGAGGAGAAAGAAGAAAGGAAAGAGGAGGAGGGGAAGGAGGGGGAGGCGAAGAAGGGAGAGGGGAAAGGGGAAGGGAGGAGGGGAGAGGGGGAGGGGGAAGGAGGGGAAGGGGGGAAAAAAAGAAAAGGGAGGAGGGAGAGGGAAGA